TATCTGACCGGTGTTCCCTGTGATTGCAGCAAATCACTTGTCGCAAATAAATCACAAATCATCCCGAAATATGCTCACTTTTGCTAGTGACATTAATCTGATTTCATTCGCAATGCAAAACATTACCCCTCTACAAAAAGCGACTCTCACAAATACGATACCATCATTCAAAAACACTTCAATTACCATATTTTCAACCGTATCTCAAAACGATCGAACAATCGCCCAAAATACACATAAAATGACTGGTGAATGATGGAAATAATCAAATACAAAGTGACAAATAAACAAAGAAACACGAACATCAAGTAAATTAGCAGCGAAGATCGCTACAGTGGGGTGATAGTGTTTTCTCAACTCCAACAGCTCACTCGCAATACTTGTCTCAGCATGCGCGAACAACGGATTTCTCACCGATCGATCATAGTGAGACGACTGAGCTCGAAGCACTGAAAACAAACATTCAAAAACATTGGAAGACGTTTCTAGGAACAAATATAACAATTCACATGTAGAATACACTCCTTTTCAATTGGACAATCTAATTGAAATAATGTAAGAACATCTACTACTGATTGACATCAAAATGCCATCGCTTTTCCAATGATTAAACAATCGAAATCGAAGTCAAGTGAAAATGCATTACGACAATAAAACAATAAAACGTTCAACGATCTATCGACCTGTTATTAACTTCTCCAACACTCATCAATCATTAGTGTCAATCTATGATTTTACATCGATATTCAAATGATAGTGAGATTCTAAGACAAATAAAAAGTCCACGAATAACTCTATGGAAGAAACTCTAAAAAGTCATACCGATATTATCCCTGTGAACCCATCCACCTTTGCCGCTGGACTTCGACAGTTCGCTTTGGTCAGGTTTTTGCTCAACTTCGTCAGTCAGCTGCTTAGCCTTAGCAGTAGAATTTTTGACAGCACTTGGTTGCGGGTCAGGAACATCAAAATATCGCTCCTCTTCGTCATCCTCATCCCACAAATCGATCCGTTCCATTTTCACAGTTGC